CCGAAGAGAGGCATGAAAGAAACAAGAAGCTTGTTTTTTTTCAGGTTGGGAATAAAGTATACAATTAAAGTGTTTTGAGAATTTAGAATAATTAAGAATAAAGCATATGTTTATGTTTTATAGAACAGGATATTAAAAGTAGAGTTATGTCGATCTTACCCTTAAGTATTTTTTTTATCAATAAGGGCATATGTTATATGCTTGAATTTATCAATAAGGGCATATGTTATATGCTTGAATTTATCAGTAAAGGCCTGTTGTATGTAGGACAGTAGTCCTTGGGTCCGTCCTTGTCAGTTACAATAAATCAAAGAATATCTCGTAGACATTGTTTTGAGAGAGGTTGAAGTGGTAGATCTATTTCACAATAACAACCTTTGAAAATTCGAAAAAAAGAAAAAAGAAATTCTTAACTGTTTTCTGTTACAGTTACCAGACAACTGACTCTTGGTAAAAGAATGATCCAAGATTATCTGATCAATATATGTGTCAATTTTTGAAACTCAAGAACTTCAACAAAGTTTTGTTTTCAAGATGCCCGTCCTTGCCATGGCAACCATATCTATCTATATATATAATTCTCTTCTGGGATCAGTTAGAAAACAAGCTGCAAGCGCCTCCTTGCAGTCCCCTCTCTTTCTCTCTATCACTATCACTACCATTCCCACCCCACCCCAACATTGTCTGGTGAGCGGTGTTCACTCTAAATTTTTACAAAGCTAAATGTTTACAAATCGTAGAGCCGTACAGCCGGGTTTCTATTAGGGGCAGATAATTTAGTTCGATTTTAAACTTACAGGAGGTAACTAAGAAATAACTAAGAGGAGGCTGCTTTCACGGGGGGGGGGGGGGGGGTGTAGGGTCGGGGTTAGGGGAAGGGGGGGGGGGTTAGTGTTTTGAAGCAAATATTTTCAGTGGCAGCATTGGTACTGTCGAATTTACAAATTATGAATTACTGAAAAGTAGAAAATAAAACAACTAAATAGCGGCGTATGATACGCTGCGGGTCGGCTCGTATATATAATTCTCTTCTGGGAGCCGCTAGAAAACAAGCTGCAAACGCGCTCCCTACCTCCCCACCCCTACATGGTTTTAGTGAGCTGTGTTCACTCTAAATGTTTACAAGCAGAGCCAACGATTTTAAACGTAGGGGGGGGGTTATGGTCCTTAACGAGTTACTTATAGTGTTTTAAAGAAATATTTTCAGTGGCAGCGTATGTTATGCCGCGGGCCGGCTCGTTTACAAATATTTGCCAATAAGTATCCCAAATTTAGATAACACAAACAATTTTTTAAACAAGCTTGTAAGTTAAGAATTTTTACCCTTTGAGCCTAACTAACAGCTTTAAAAATAGGCCTAATCTCACATTAATAAAAAATTAAAACGATAAAGACCTTTGTATTGTTCTTACTAGTACTAAATGAAGAAAAAAATTGTGTTGTTTCCCTTTCGCAAAAAAAAATAGTTCAAGGGAAATAATACATAATTTATTTACTAAGTCTTAATAAATAAGAATTGTTATAATAATTACCAAATATAAACAGTAAGTCATTAAAATATTTTTTTAGTTACTTCTGTAATTAAGAACTTTTATGAACAAAATTGAGTTTCTTAAATCATTTGAATTTATTTTAACTGTATCTAAAAAAGTATAAACAGTTGTAGTTGGATTTCATGTTAAAATTAATAACAGGATACCTTCTGAGCAGGTTACTCATGTGTTACTAATCTCTTTCCCCTCATCTTTCACACTGCAACCTTTTGAAAACTCAATGCGACCACTACAACACCCTTTCAACTAGTCAACTTAAGTTGTTTCCCTACATAGAAAATGCTTCACTGTCCCATTGACCCTCTCTGAAAAATTTCCTTTCCTCTCCCCACCCAGACTTCTGACACTTTCATTTGACCTTCACCCCTTTTACTGTCATCCTTTGCAATTTTTTATAATTAAATACATGACATCAGTGGCGTAGCGAGGTCGGTTGTCACCCGGTGCGGCACTTAATGGTGTCACCCCCCCCCCAGAGGCATAGAGACCCTTCCCAGGGACAAACTTTCAAATTTTCAATTTGCACCCCCCCCCCCTCCTCAAACTTTCGATTTGCACCCCCCCTCAAGTTTTCGATTTGCACCCCCCCCCCTCAAACTTTCGATTTGCACCCCCCCTCGAGTTTTTCTCTATATATTTTGCTATTTTTTGCCTTGGTGTCACCCCACTAAATGGTGTCACCCGGTGCGGTCCGCACCCCCCGCCCCCCCCCTCGCTACGCCCCTGCATGACATCATGTAAATATTCATTATGTACATTTGCAAAACCTTTCGTTTTCATTTGGTGTTCAAAATTATGTTTAAAAATTTGATGTTGATGTACTTGTTTTAATTGCAAATAAAAAAAAAAAAAAAAAAAATCATACATCTATGACCCATTGTGTATTTTAGACGTGAGAACTTGTTTTCTAAAACCGAGTTTTTAAAGATAAATGTAAAGAATACAGGCACTATTTTTCTAGGATCTGAGTTGTTAATGGTAAGGCGCTGGCTGTCCACGCCACTGCCTAGGCGCCCCATTGCGTGCTGTACAGTGCTTCTTCCAGATCTTTATCTCCAGGGGAGGGGGGCACTTGAAATTTTCGGGGGGGGGGGGGGGGGGGGCGGTCAACATTTTTCGGAGGTGGGGTGGGGGGGGGGCTAATAAAAGTATAAGTTTACTATATAAAATCCATCTCGTTTGGGGGGGGGGGGGGGGCAATAGACTGTCTACGAAGAGCCCCCCCCCCTTCTAAGAGATGCCTTGAAGAAACTCTGGTGCTGTATACAGTGTTTCATGCTTTTTTCTCCAGGGGGTGGGACAATTGATATTTTCGTGGGGGGGTGGGGGGTGGGGGTGGGGGTGGGGAAGACTAAATTTTCTGGGTGTGGGAGCGGACACTGATAAAAGAATATATTTTCTATATAAATTCCTGCTTCAGATGAAAACTGTAATACTAAAAGACTAAAAGCGAATACGGCCAGTCAAACTGACTCTGTAAATCACATCCCTGAGCCAAGTCTATCACCATTTTTTATTGCGACTAAATTGTAGAAAAGTATCCAACCTGATTCTCTTAATCCTTTTTTTAAAAAAAATGGAATGCTTTCACAAATTTTAAATCTAATTACCTTATCATTTTCAATTTTAAGAAGTACAGTGTAGGTCAGTAGCGTAGCGGGGGGGGGCATATGTCCCCCGGGCGCCGACTTTAGGGGGCACCAAAATGGGTTGGAAAAATAAATTAAAAGGTTGAGGGGGGGGGGGGGTGCAAATCGAAAGTTTGAGGGGGGGGGGGGGATGCAAATCGAAATCTTTAGGGACGGGGTGCAAATTGAAAAGTTTGTCGGGAAGGGTCGCTACGCCTCTGGTATAGGTGGTCACATTTCTTAAAATATTGTTCTTTTCCTCACATAAACCAATGTCGAATGGTGAATGACATAATTAAGGACTACTGCCGAATTTGATTGTTTTATTCGATATACATCAGTTGTTGGTTGAATCCTACATAATACATAAACGAAAAGAAATATATTATACAATCACGTATTAAACCGTTAATTGAAATAATATAAAATAATTAGCAGAGCGTGGTTTCGATCCACGGACCTCTGGGTTATGGGCCCAGCACGCTTCCACTGCGCCACTCTGCTGTCCGGTCTATTCATAATTTATCTTGTATATATTTTTCACGGTGCGTAGCTGATGCAATAGGCTTACAACACAAATCACAACCTACGGATAAGAACTTTTGTACTAAAACTTTGTTTGTTCTAAAGCGAAAGAAGAAAACAAAAAAGAAAATTGAAACGCAATGCACCACTATTTATAAAATTGTTAAGAAAAAAGAACTTAGTTTAAAATAGATATGCTGAGTATTTATTTGAAGGCCATCTCTGGGCCTAAATATAAAAAAAAAACAACAATGACAAGTAAGCCCCTAGGCCTATTACGAACGATTATCATTAGCCTACTAGATCTATATAATATATGCTGTACTAGTACTGAGGAATATAGATAGTAGTTCACTGATAGGCGTAGGCGGAAATGGAGTGTTGTAATACCCAAAACATTAAAGTTGCCTAACGATAAGTTTCAGCTAATTGTATTTTGTAGTCATATAAATAGTTATCATATAGGCCTAGATCAAAATATTATATAATAGTAGTTAACTATAACGTTTTATAAAAACATTCTTTTTTTTAAAGCATTGGATATAGTTCTATATAAAAGTAAAAGGCTTTTATTTCTTTCGGCCTTTATTTTATGGGTTATCCATAAACGACGTCACATTTTTTGGACGATTTTTACCTCCCCCTCTCAAAGAGCCAGACCCCCCCCCCTCCAATAATTAGGAACATTAGTATGTATTATATACGTACACAGATTCAGAGGCGTAGCGAGGGCGGGCGGGGGGGGGGGGGGGTGGGACATATGTCCCCGGGCGCCGAAATGGGTTGGAAAAACAAATTGAAAGTTTGAAGGGGGTGCAAATCGCAAGTTTTAGGGTGGGGGGGGTGCAAATCGAAAGTCCGAGGGGGGGGGGTGCAAATCGAAAGTTTGTCCCCGGGAAGGGTAGCTACGCCTCTGCACAGATTTAACAATATCAAAAGCCACTATTGTAACAAGAAATTCGTCAATTAACTAAAGGGAAGCAATCAATAATTTAAATATAGTGGGTTATTCTAAAATTACCTCCCCTGTTTGTCCATCCTACAATTAACGAACAACTCAATTTAGCTACAAAGCTTTGTTTAAGTACACTTTAAACAATTTACTTGAGCGACAGCAGCCAAATGATGACATTAATTACTGTCAACGAAATCCAGAGATAATTACCATTTTCTATTACAATTTTTCATGAATTGCTTTTTACAAGTACAACTATTTGCCTGCTTTTTACCATTTTGATTTGAATTTACCTAAACACCAGATAAAACTTTAAAAAAAAACCAACAACAAGGAATTCTGTATTTTTTATTATCAAGAATTTAATAAAACTGTACAAGAAATGATTCACTCACTATTATCATCATAATCATCATCCTTACACATGATAACAATAACTTACATCTTTATCTGTTGAGGTATCTAACACAGCAAAACATTTTTAAAATAGAACCTACAATTTGTAGGCAATAGTTTAATGAAGTCTTTGAAATTTAACAAAAAAAATTGCAGGAAAATTTTATAATGTACAAAATCACTTGGCTCTGTTTTAGTGAATCTTTAAAATGTTAGAAAATCAGCAAATAAACATTATCATCAGTCCATTGATTTTTAGGCATTGTTGTAATGAAAATAAATACACAAACACCTTAGTTGGTCTAATAATTATTACTTTCATACAAAATCTTTTTTTCCGCGACCCCACAAAATGTAACAAAATAAAAAAACAACAACACACATTCCAATCACTTGTCTATTAAAGTCCCTTTCGGTCTTAACTTCTTGGCCTCTTCTTCAGCCTGAAAAAAAAAAATCTTTGAATTAGGAATCTTCAAATCAAGGATTGAATGGTGGGACAGCATGGCCTAGTGGTAGAGCACTAGACTACAAACCCGAAAGTCAGGAAATCATATCTGGGTTCAAGTCAGTAGAAGGCCCCTGAGTCCACCCAGCTTTGATGGGTACCTAACTCATGTTGGGAAAATAGAGGCGGCTGGGCATAGTGCTAAACAGACTATCCCTTCATATGCTGAGGTAATTTAAACAGATGAACTCTACTTCATCTGCCCCATGTTTCTTGGGCACAAACAGGAAATTTTAAAAACAACAACTAATTTTACCTGTTCCATGAGTTTTCGTTTACTCATTCCTTTTCTCAGCAACTGCTTTTCAATAACCTTGGCGTTTGCAGCATATGAATCAGCAATTTCTTTCTATAAAAACAATTTTTAAAATAATTTTTAGATCTTGTTATAATAAATCTCTTCAAAGAATTGGTGTCTGACAAATTAGACAATGTATAATTATAAGAAATGTTCTTAAACTGACTTTTAAAATAATTTTTAGATTATCATATAATAAATCTCTTTCAAGTATTGAATTCCGACAAATTAGACAAAGTATAACTGTTAAAAAAGTTCTAGCACTGACCGCTTCAAGCTCCTCCTCTTCTTCATCCACCGTAGACACTGTGACCGAGCTGAACTTGCCCATGTTTTTTGTGTGTTTTGTCAAGGTCACCTGTAAGTTTTATAAAAAAAAAATAGTTCAGGTCTATGGGATAATAAAACAACATTGGTCTCAGGGATTAAAAACAATAAACAGATTAAATCCTTCATGAGAGTCAAATATTTAAAATGTTTGTAGATTTAGGTAAAGATTCCATATATTAATATTTAAGCAGATATTTTATCTTTTTACCAATTTAGGTAGGCCTTCAAAATAATGAAATCACGCCTTTTAAGATTTACTCTACTGAAATCAAGTTAGCAGCAATAATGAAAGCACAAAGATTTACTCTACTAAAATCAAGTTAGCAGCAGCAATGTTAAACCCAACACTCACCTTCTTGGGTTCACTCAACTGACTGTACACATCTGTTTTGATTCCATCTGTTTCACGTTTCAGGGCGCCATCAACCACAAACATAACGGAGCTGTTCCCTTGGTGGTGGTAGTAAAGAAGTAGACCACATCTGTAACACGTCACAAGTTTAGTGAACAATTTACTAAAAGTAAAGTTAAACATTCTGAGCCGGTGTTTAATAGAGCAGATGAGGTTGAGTTCACTTGTTTCTAAGATGTTGGCAAAAGAAGGGTTAGTGTGTTCATTGCTATGCCCAAAGGCATTCATTTTCTCTAATATGTATGAGTTACCTACATCAGAGCAGGTTGACTCAAAAGCTCCCTACAGAATCGAGTTTGGAATCTCAACTCAAGACTTTCAAGTTACGAGTTGTCTGCTAAAACAACTATGCTATCCTCGATTATTAGTACTATGGATACCCATTTTATTCTTAGAAAAACTAATACAATACAAATGTGGAACTACTGCTTAGATTTCATATGTGAAATAAAAGCTTTGATAACTGATTTATAAATTAATTGAAAATTATGTCTTAGATATCTGAAGTTTGTGGAATAAATTAATGGTATAAATGTAGCCTATTTTTTGTTTCTTTTTAAAATAGCCTTAATTAGGTATACAAATTCAAAATTTGTAAATCTGAAAAACTAAATAAACAAAGCTAAAAGAGTAAGCTGCTTGTGGCAAATAATGTCGTGTGAATCATGCTTAATACATGAATAATTAGTTATGTTTGATACAAGAATTAATTGACTCCCATTGACAAATCATTTGCAGTAGATACAACAATTTAAAAAATAAAATTTCATCACCTTTTACATTTCTGTCTATACTGTTTCTCCAAGCCTTCAGGTCTGCAAGACAAAAATTTTATATTTACAAATATTGCTTAATATTTATAATTATTTATAAACACAGTGGAAAATCATGTTTATGTTAATATTATAAATGTATTATGTTACTGATTTACCTAAAACATTGTTCAAATGAAGGCATTATTTATTGCATGACTTTAATAATTTAAGTTGTCTAGAGGCAGTTTACTTAAAAGTACCGCTGTTTTCCAAACACCTAAAAAATATACTCTGTTACGCTTATTTTAAAAAATATGTGCTTTGAAAAAAAAACAACCGCAAACTACACATCTGTTGCTAAAAACAACAACCAAAACCCCTTATTTGAGACAACAGCATCATGAACTAAGACAACTTAATTAAATGTGCCTTTTTTCCTTAATGTCAAACTAAGTAAGACAGGAGGTCAGAGTGTATGGCTAACTTGCCAGATCAGTTACTGGCATACTTTAACCAACTTAGCACAAGCTGACCATAACATCTTTTAATGTGCCAGTTAAAGACAGTCCATAAAAAACTTTTTTATATGTTATATTTCAAAAAGAAAGATTTATTTTCTGTCACTGTTTTCACCCTGTGTCAAGGCGTAGATTTACATGTGACAGCATTAACGATAGAGTAAGACATTGACAGTTAAAGAGGATGCTAAGAGTTAGTTCATATTCTCAGGCAGATAAGGCTCGTTAGCTGGGGACAGCCACTCTTCAAGGAGAGACAACTCCAAAATCAAACAACTGCTGCCTTGTAGTTTGTTCTTGGTTGGACAAAGGCTATGGAAGCAAATCCAAAAAGTAAAGCAGGCTGAAATCGGAGTCAATGGCCTCAATGGCACATAACCAGTTGACACGTATACTTAATTGTGTTGGAGGGGATCCCTTCCAACACTAAAAATAAGAACAAAGAAGAAGTTCATATTGACGGTTGACAATGTGACTAGAGAGTATTTCCGATTGTTTTGTTTACTGAACAGAATATGTGTAGTGCAAGTGTTATAAGGCAAAGAGTACAGAATGATGCAGTAGACAAGACTTAATCAAGCTCCACCATTTAAAAAAATAAGAGTAAAGAATTATTTCAAAAACCTTTTAATGTAAACAATCTCATCTGGGTCACAAGTGAGCTTGTGTGCATGTTTCTGACTGTCAATAACTCTGGCTTTATCTCGTTTCCTCAGTGGTAGCTTCTCCAAAGGACAATCTGCAGAAAATTTTTGTGTTTGATGAATTACAGAAATCACCGACAGTATTTTTAGTTAGACTTACAATACTATTCTACATTATCTTAACCATGAAAGGCCTAGACTTCAGGCTATAGGCCTGTTGTTTATTTTATATAAAAAGCAAATTGCATAACTTAAATATTGTAAGTTGGCTCATCATAAACATTCACATGATTTTTCTAAAACTGTTGGCCAAGAGTTACCAACTTCTTTTTAAAACTGAACTATTTCAATCCCTTATTTTGTGTGGACCTGGGTGTTAAATTTTATTAAGTTGTATTGTGGAGTACCTAGAAGAAAAGAAATTGGCCTAGTAAATTGTTTTTTTTAAAGATTTATAGATTGTCTAACAAAATTTAGCTGAACGTAAAAAAAAAATTCTTAACTTAAAATTTTGAAAGAGTAAGACATTTTACTAAAATCTAAATAATTACTTCTGTACTTGTGTCCTGTACTTGTAGGTAGGCATACGTTTTAGTAACTTACCAAGAATAAGGGACATCTGTCCGCACAAACAATAATACACATACAAAGGTTTCTCCCCTTGGTATTCTTCTTGATCTTTTGTGTCGGTGCAAACAACACTTTTTGAAACAACTTTTGGCATTTTAAAATTCTTTTTGGTTTGTCGTTTGTGATTCTTTTAATGTGAATTTGAGTTTTCTTTTATTCTAAAATTCAACTGTAATGTTTGTGTGTTCACTCATTTCATTTGTAGATCTAGAAATAGAAAATAATTTCAAAATAAATAATAAAATAAAAAGTAGGCTTAATTAATTATACATTAGTTAGTGTTGAAGTCAAATTTCGTTCTCTGCATACTGGCCAAAGTGCTCCAAAACACAACACTCCAACATATAGTTTCTAACGTGTTTATTCCGATCCTTTAAATTCTTGCGATCCGCCCTTCACTCCTTTATCCTAATAGCTGTCAATAATCTCTCATCTTATGGCTCAGAGACTTGGAGGCGGTTGCGAAGACAAATACTGATAAGCTACAGGCATTTGTAAACAAATGCTTACGACATATACTTAAAATGAGATGGCCAGACAAAATATCAAACAAAGACCTGTGGCAAACTTTAAAGCAACAGCCAATAGAGGCAGATATCAAGGCCCGTAAATGGGGATGGATCGGACACACATTAAGAAAAGAAAAAGAAAACATCGCAAAACATGCTTTGGACTGGAATCCCCAGGGAAAAAGGAGGGTGGGCCGGGAAAGGAAGACATGGAGAAGAACGGTTGAAGAATAGGCGAAAACAGCTGGGCTCACATGGGCACAGATAAAAGGAGCAGCCCAAAACCGAGTCCGATGGAGATGTGTGGCTGCAGCCCTTAGCTCCCCAGGGGCCACAAAGGAATGATGATGATGAATCTCTCACCAACTACCATATAAAAAGACCCCACACACTTGCTCACACCACTTTTATACACACATTCGATCTTGGTATAAAAATACATTAAAAAAACCCTGCGTAACTTAGAGGTCATCCATAAATGACAGCATGCTTTTTTTGACAATTTTTACCTCTCCCCTCCCCTCCGTCACAAAACGCCAGACCTGCCCCCCCCCCCCCCCCCTCCCTAAAATGACGTCACACCTCAGCCTACAACCCCACTCAACATTGAAGTTGAATTTTTCTTAAAACATCGATATTTTTCCAAAATCTTGTCTGAACTCTCTCAACATAGAGTATTTTAATCAATTCCTATTACAATTTATTAAAACAGTTTTCTAAAACGTGAAATAACAGCTAAAATTCGTTTTCTAACATTACTTATTGTTAATGTGACGTCCCACCGTCTGACCCCCCCCCTCCCCCTCATCACACCCCGTATCAAAATTACGGACCTCCTCCTCCCTACGAGTGTGACATCATTTATGGACGACCCCTAAACTCACACACCCTATCCCCCAAGTTCTTCTAACTGTCTAACTCTAACTATACTAACCTCTACTAATCAGAAATACAATCAACCCTTCCATAACAGATAATAATGAGATTTTGGTAATCTCGCATTTTAGGTACGTAAAAATCGGTCGAGTCTAGTAATGTGAAAAAAAGGGTGATTCATTATTATGGCTTCAATACAAGTAGGCCTATATTGTGAAATATTTGTGTCAAATATAATAGATAACTAAATAATAAACAAAAAGCAATGTCTAAAATCTAAATATATCAATCATTGTAGGCCAGAAATTAACTTTGAACAGCAGTGTTTGTGAGCAAGATTTGCTTTATAGACAGCAGCCATCAGTAAATAAGAGTGGCTTCCCTTGAATCTCTTACTAAAGTAGTAAAGTGTTACCAAAAAAACGTATAGGCCTACATTATACATGATGGCTGCTACGGTAAATGAGCTTGGTTGCATCTGATGAAAACATAGCTAATTTTTATCTAATTTTATTTATTAGGCCTACCTACTGAAAAGTTTTAATACAATTGTTTAAAAACTAAAACAGGTACATTAGGCTCATTAGGCCTAAGTGCAAAAAGGTGCATAATTAATATGCTACATTTGGCTCGTACTAGAGACTAGACAAGACTAGGCCCTACCCACAGTCCACTTTTGTACAGTGTACGACGTATGTACAGTAAACTTGAGTAAACAACTAGATCTAGATCAAGATATACCAGTACCAGCCCACAGTGAAGTGCCGTGATTTTGAATGGACACACACTTTCACACTCATTTCCACTGGAAATTCCAGAAATTCCACACTGCAATTTATGTAGGCCTAGTAAATAAAAGGTAATCTATCGTTTTAGGTACGTAAAATCACCCGCGACTAGTAATGTGAAAAACAGGTGACTCCTTAAATTTTAATAATTATTTCACATTTTGAGGAGGATTTATGTTTTGAAAAATACAAAAATGTTTCCTTGTTTCATTTATGTACCTATTTTTAAACAATTGAATTAAAACTTTTCAGTAATAAATTTAGACTAGCGATGTTTCCAACAGATGCAACCATGCTCATTTACTATAGCAGCCATCTTGTTTATTTATTTTTATTGTAAACTTATAGCGCAAGATTCAGGGGAAGCCACTCTAACTTACAGATGGCCGCTTTAATTTTTATATAGTATATTTTTATATAGCAAATCCTGCTCGCAAACACTGCTGCTTAAAGTTAATTTCTTGCCTATATTGATATATTTAGTAGGGTTGTCGGCATCCGCCGAGTCCGCGGTAAAAACATGACCCGAAATCGCCCATTACTTTCTGATACCGGACACACGAGATTTGGTTTTGCATACTAATAAGTTTTTAATTTATGGTAATTAATTAAGTTTAAAAGGTCATTTCCTAAGGTTAATTAAAAAGTAGAGTGATTGTCCCTTAGTTTTAATGGCTTTGCGACCTGATTGCATGCTGTCTCTGCTTTGGTCTTCCCTCTGTATCAAGGTTAGTTTCAAATACGTTGGAATCTCGATTTTTTAAAAGATTCCTCTAGATGAGAGTAGATTACTGATCAGACATATCTTAAGTAATTGGAAATGAAATTTGTTTTTGGATATTTTGACTCCGACATTAGTTATACCCCTCCGAACGTAGTCACTGTATGTAGGTCACGCTGCCACCATTGTTATATTTTTTCATCCCGATCTTCCTGCTTTAAGTTTGATCAACTAATAACAGCATTCTTATGGCATGTGCAAACAAATCTAATTTTTTATTTCAAAATATATTTACATACCCATCTTTAATTTTTTCAGCTCTAGTTCTAGTTTTGCAGAATGTTTTTCCTAAAAATCCAATTTTGTCAGACAAGAGTCAGACCTAGATCTAGGTTACCTGTCTGTTGCTATACACTAGCATTGTGCTAACTGTAATTTTAAGTATTCAAGTTCTACTTACCCTTAGATATAGTTATATGCTGAAAATCAGAATCCATACACAATTCACACATAAAAACATTGATCTGATAACTTCATTTCACTTATTACAAAATGGCTTTTATATGGACTCTACTTCACCTGCCCAAAATAACAAGGCAGTTATAGACACATTACAGTGTTCAAGTCATTTACTTTAGATTTCTGACTATGGAGTTCTTTCATTCACTGTATTTATATAAAATATTGCTTTAGAAACATTTTCATATTTGCGCAGCAGTTTTATAACATAATGGCTTAAAGATGGACTCTACTTCACCTGCCCAAAATAATGAGGCAATTATATGCACATAACAGTGTTCAAGTCATTTACTTTAGATTTCAAACTTTGTAGTTCTTTTATTTGCTGTATTTATATAAAATATGGCTTTAGAAACATTTTCATATTTGCGCAGCACACAGTTTTTTGGGGTTATGGGAGGAAGCCAACACAAAAATATAAGTTCTGTATTATTTTTATTCATTTCAACAACATTTACAAGTTCTATATATCATTCTAGCTAAACTCTGCAAATATGAACAAAATACAAATGCAATTAAAATAACTATGCTCAATTTATTCAGGTATACCATGACTTGTCACAATTGGCCAATGCAAAAGTAAGGGGATTCCACCCCTCACAAAAAAATTCGCAAAAAAAAAAACTATTTGAGCTAGACAAAAAATCTTTTTTGTTTTGTTTTCATTTTGTTGAGCTCTACAAGAATATGTAGAGCAAATTACACTGTCCGGACACACACCGCGAAAAAACGCAACTTAAAACTTCCATGCGGTCTCATTCAGTAACCGCTTAACATAGGAAGGAAAAAAAAGTATCATATCTATCCGCAATCATTCTACTTTAATAATGTGTGTGTCATTTTGTATTCATACGCATAGAACTTTAGCTATTCTTGTTATAGTGACTGGGGGGTCTTAACATGTGTTCGGACACATGTAATACAATTTCAAATGTGTTCGGACACCTTTACCCGTCATCGGACAAAGCACTTTTTGTTCATTTAGAATAATTTAAAGTCAATTTAATGAATAAAAACATATATAATATGCATTTATATTGTGTTATTGATTGTTTGTGAGGTAATTTTAATAGTATAAAACCTTTTTCCCACACTCCCAAAGTTCATCCCATTCAGCCATTGCGGCTCGCGCAGTACGCTGCTAAGCCAGCCAGGTCACATGATTCCCCCTCCTCTTTCGCATTCCACTGCATTCTTGACCTTATTTTGACCCTTTCCCTTCAATAACCAGCCCCTTTTATGCTCTAAATTCTTATTTAATAATATTTTTGTGTTGCTGTCCGGTCCCATGTAAGGTCAAAAAAGTTAGCGAACACCCCTTTTTTATTGTTCAAGCACAAAATAACCCATTAACCTTGACATTTACGATGTTCCATACATATATAGAAGCTATTTATAGTGTAACCTTTTAGCTAAGCGTTGATTGGTTCAAATTTTGCCCCTAAGTCCAACCCTAGGTCACTTCATCCGGCTGGTGTAAAAATAGAAATGTGCGTACCATGCAACGTTAAAAATTTTCTAAAAATAATTCTTGAGAGAGGAAACGGAAGTACTTGACACGGAAGTGTTCATAAATGAACAGTTTACGTGCAGGCGCCGTTGTTTCGCATGAGACATGCTAATTAAAGTTTCTATGAGCCAAAAACCGACGAAGTGTTCGGTCCCATGTAGTGTTCGGACAATGTAATTTGCTCTAATTTTTATTTTTATATGATGATTAGTGCTTTTTTACCAAAATCCCTAATATTTAGCCATTGATTTAGGTTTATTATTCATTTATCTATAATATTTGACACAAATATAGATCTATCACAATAATATAATATAGATCTATTTCTATTAAAGTAATTAAAGTTTAAAGCCTTGAAAATTAGGTAACTTTCGTAACATTACTAGATCTAGCCGCGGGCGATAAACGACAAACGTACCTAAAACGATAGATTACCAAATAAAAATATTAGGCCTAGGCCTATATTACTTGAATTCCATATTAAAATATGTATATGATAGATCTAATATTTGTCAATAAAGTACAGGTCTAATTAAGTAATTAAAAACCTACAGTCTACGTACTACGTACGTAATTTTAAGTTTCTGTTGAAGTTGTACACATAACACTACTTATTATCGTTCTTTTCTAAGTGTTCTACGTCACATTTTTATGTGTATTTTTTCCCTGTTTCGCTTTTAAATATAATAATAAAAATTTAGTAAGTTAATATTTTTATTTTTTCTTGGGTGGACAAATACTTTAACAGTTTGTTTTAAATAAAAAGAACAAATCGTGTGACTATTTTATTTTAAAGTTGTTAAGATGTGTGTGTGTGTGTGTGTGTGTGGCTGGAGGGGCGTGGGAGTTCATACTTCAGTAGGCCGAATGCAATTTTTTTGAATTTCTGAAGCCACAGCCACCCCTCCTCCCACGGCCATCGACATAGGAGCCACCTAATAAAATGCCTCACTCGAGACTGCCCATCTAAATTTTAAAATTTTCTAAATAACAACAACAAACAACTAACAACAACAAAAATCACAATTAGGCCCAACCTAGAAACTACCAAAAATGCTAGCTAATAGCCAACTGGGTATCCTAGTGCTCAAGGTTGTAGATTAATCAATTTTAAAAATAATTTATACATTTAAAAAAAAAGTCTTTTGAAAAAGCAAAGTACTGAATTTTCAAAAAGAATCAACGTATTTTATAACTGAATTTTAGCTGTTATTTCACACTTTCAATTACTATTTTGAAAATTGTAATAGGGCCTGTATTAGTAGGCCTACACACTGACCAACGCAGTATACATCAATGACTAAGTTTAATTAACACTTAAGAAAAAAATTGATGTTTTGTTTCAAAAATTAAAATGTCGGTATATTCTACTGTTCTAAGGTTTGACATCATTTTAGAAAGGGGGTGGGTGTGTTGTGACGATTGGGGGGGGGGGGGGATCGACAATTAAACGTAACGTCGTTTTAAAGATCACTTATTGGCCTAAGTAAAGGTTTCTTTTTAACGTAGGCTAGTTGATGTAGACAGAGTTTCTTACATGTATCTCTTGGGGGGGGGGGGGGAGGGAGGGGGTGTAATTGCCCCCGAAGCATGGTTTTGCCCCATTTCAAACAAAATATAATTTATTAGTAATTTATGCTTTTACCCCCCCCCCCCCCCCTTTTTTTTTCCAGTCCCCCCCCCCCCCCCCCCCCCGAAAGTTTCAAGCCCCACCCCCTCCACCCCAGGAGGAAAAAAAAATTGAAAAAGGCTAGATCTAGATTCTATAGGCTGAATGATTTTTCTAAACAACTGCTTTCTAGATCATCTAAATGTAGTCTTTATCTTTACAGGCAGTATTAATTTAAACATTGTCGTTGGATTAGGCTAATGTATTCTAGTTTTAAAAAACCGAGAGGTGGGAAAAGAAGGAAAGCACAAGTTAAGCTGACCAATAGTTTGTGTCAAACTATGTCACTGTCTCCAGTGTGAGTCTTTAAAAACACAACTTTGATTGGATAATAAATCACGTGACTAGATAAATGTCGGCCTTCACTGGGACATTCGATATTTTGTATTGTAATGCTTCTGAACAAGAATGAAATAAAAGAGTGCATCATAATATTTTGTTCCTGGACACTTGCTGTTGTCCTGTAGAGGAGACTGGGACATTATTATCAAAAAATTGAGTTAGTCTGTGATTCTATACTCTTAGTGACAGGCTTAGGCGGTTCACAGTAACAAAAATGGCGTCTGAAAGTGGCACCTCTTACAGTCAGGTAAGTTTATTTTTGCATATTTCTAGTGCTCCTTTGCATATTAGTGCACAACTGTCACTTCATTTTGTGTCCCACAAGTGCCAATTAGTATTGATAAATTTAATTTTGTATAAACTGCAGCAGTGCACGAAAATAATAGTTATAAGTTTTGACATAGGAAGTTAAAGTAGGAAGATGAACTGATAACTGAGGGGAGGTTTTATTAAATTATTTTTTCTAGATTTCTAAAGTCTCTATCTAACCTCGTCTGTCAACATATATAGATTCTAGGGCCTATTTGTCCTTCTTTTGTTTTGTTGGCTAAATTAAAAAAAAACGAGTTGCATAGAAAATTGAATTTTAAGGCAAGTTTTTAAAGAAACCCACCCAGTGACTGTAGTGAACTGTAGTGTGAGACAGAGACTCAGACTCTCAGACAGGGTCAAATTAATTGTGTCACTTGGTTTAAGTTTTAAACATTGCAGTTTACCCCACTAGAGATCTAGAATCTAGATCTAGCAGTACTAGAAGATGTAATCTAGATCTAGATCTAGATTCAAGATATCAAACTTACTAACTTGACCTGACTCACTTCATTCAGTCAGTATTCAGTATTTTATTGTGAGTCAGGAATGAGGAAGTGTCAGATGGATGACTGAATAAAGTTTTAGGCCCTATTAAGTTAGTTTGATTTTGTTTAGGGCCTAGATTTTTTTTAAATATTAAGATTTTGATATCAAGATTTATGAGATCAAATTAACAGGCAAATAGGCCTAATGGTAGCCTAATTGTATGAGTTTTCTGGTTTCATCCTGTTTTAGTCCAAATCCCTAACACTTATTGCTTGGCTTACAATATTATAGTATACACAAAAATAAAGCATGACAGAACACCAACTTAATTAATTTGAAACTTAGTTTTGAAAATGACAGGCTCACTACCCAGAGGCATAGCGATGGGGGGGCAGGGGGGGCATATGTCCCCGGGCACCGACCTTAGGGGGCGCCAAAATGGGTTGTAAAAATAAATTAAAATGTCATTTTAGCTGCATTTTTGTAGTTTGAGGGGGGGGGGGTGCAAATCGAAAGTTTGAGGGGGGGGGGGTGCAAATTGAAAGGTTGCTCTCAAGGGGGCGCCAAATTGAAAGTTTGTCCCCGGGCGCCGGGAAGGGTCGCTACGCCTCTGTCACTACCTAACCCAAACCAATTTTGGTCATTAAAAATAGTTTTTGATAAATTATTTCAGCCCCAAATTGACATAAAAACCCAACACACATCTTTTTAAGACTCGTTTAAAGATAGGTCTATTTAAATAAATACTTTTTCGCCAGATAGGAAGTCTGAGATGCAACTTTTATCAATACATACAGCGTCAGTGTATCAGATTATGATGCCAATCTGCATCCCTCTCCTACCTTTAGCAGAAAATTACAGATTTACTAATTTTATAGGTTTATACATTAGTTCTATATTTTGATCATAAATTAAATGCAAAATAATAACACAGGCTGGTAAACCGTAAACTATACATTTCATTTCTCTTGGGATAAGTTAGTTTTTTAAAATTTATTTAGGTTAGGCTAAGCAACATCAAAATAATAGCAAAGACCAATACCTAAGTGATTCCTCAGATGAGCAGAGAAGAAAATGGGATTCGTTTAATTGATTGACAGTTATAATATTGCTCACATGATTTTAATTCCTTATATTTGTTGAATATTGTTTATTGTAAATTTCATGCTTGCCACTTAAAAGTTAAAAAAAAAAATTATTATATGATTATTGAGCAATTTGATACTTTTTGATAGCTCAACCCCTAAAAAATGAGGTATATCACTGCTCTGCTTTATGTTCATAGGATCAGTTTATTTAGATTTTGGTTTATTAATAATACATTTTAAAGATCAAGCTATCCAATCATCAATAGCATAACAGTACTGTTAGGTTTAATACTCACTTATGGTTAATATTGTTTTTTTGACAACACCAAGCAGTATTATTGTTAGAATAAGATACGTTTACTATGGCAAGTAGCCCATCTTTAAGTAATTTTTCATTTACATTGCTCAGTCCCGTATGTGTTTTATGGCTATTTTAAGTGTTCTCTATACTGTTTTGTATCTGCATCCGTTTCTAAAATGTTTTTCCTCTGGCTTTTGTTTCTGTCTCCCACTGTCTGAGAGCTGTCCTTGTTCTCTGTCATGTTAATTTAATCTTTGCAGACTGAAAGAATCTTGGTCTGACTGAAGTTTATTCAGAACTTTCAACAACCTATTAGTGGCTATTTTTGTGTGTTGACTATTATTATTAACATCTGCATTATATAACCTAATATTTAAAAGTTTGAAACGTAAAGTTAAACTAACATTAAAGGTATGCATTAGACGTAGTATTTCAACTATATTCATTTTCATTAATTCTTATTTATTTATCTAAAGAGTTCTTTGAAAATGCTTAAAGTAAGAAAGGAGATGCTTTTTTTGATGATTAATGTGATTTTTCTTAGATAAATTATAAAATTAAATTCCACTTCAGATTGTTAACATTCTCTTTCTCTAATAATGATACACTCCCCATGGTTCCTTTATCTATAACAATAATGAAATGGTTCTGCTACTGCTAGTTCCTACATCTCTCTAATAACAATATGGTTCCCCTAGTTCCTACATCTCTCTAATAACAATATGGTTCCCCTAGTTCCTACATCTCTCTAATAACAATATGGTTCCCCTAGTTCCTACATCTCTCTAATAACAATATGGTTCCCCTAGTTCCTACATCTCTCTAATAACAATATGGTTCCCCTAGTTCCTACATCTCTCTAATAACAATATGGTTCCCCTAGTTCCTACATCTCTCTAATAACAATATGGTTCCCCTAGTTCCTACATCTCTCTAATAACAATATGGTTCCCCTAGTTCCTAAATCTCTGATACTTCCTCTCTACCTGGCTGTGCAAGCACAAGGTCTGTTCTGTTGTACCTGAGATATGGGGGTCTAGTTGATAACAGAATAACAAAGCTATGGCTTGTGTTTACAAAACCCTACCTGTTGACACCCAAAGTTCCTTAGCTGCACTTATATTTTTTTTTATCTAGTCTTGAAAACCAGTTGGCATCCCATCTAAAACCCTATCTTTTGTTTGAATGCCGTTTATATTTAGCACATCTTAATGCATGTAGGCCTACAAGTTTATTGAGGTAATTAAAACTTAACTGTAGCATGGTGAAGAGAAGATGTAGATCTATAGGTTTCAACCTGGCTCATTCTTTACCTGAGCTTGGAAGCAGTGTCTGTTACGTAACTCTCTGGCAGACAACCCACCCTAATGCGCCACACCCTTTTAAAAATTCATCACATTTTCACGCCAACAATAACCTCAATTTGCTGGTGAAAT